GTGACGCTTAAGTGGAGGAAAACACAAGCATATCATAAACCAGATCGACTATGTTGTACTGGTTAATGTGTTGATCAATCAAGAACTCCTATATCTAGAAGATGAATGTAGTTTAAATGAAGATGTTGAGACGAATGCATGGGCACACTAGGTTGAATAGGATTAGCGTCGGGAGAAGGTGAGCGTGGTCCCCATGGAGGACAAGATATGAGAGGCAAGGGTTAGATGGTTCGGGCATGTGAGAAGAATAAGTCTAGATGCCGCAGTTACAAGTTGTGAACAGTTGGCTTTGACGGGTATGAGAAGAGGTAGAGGGCGACCTAAGAAGTAGTGGGGAGATGTGATCAGGCAGGACATAGCGAGACTTCAGCTTACCGAGGACATGGTACTAGATAGGAGGGTATGGAGGCCGAGATTATGGTAGAAGGATAGTAGGTAATCGGGTATTTTTCTGATCCGTTCCAGGTGTATTAGGGCTAGTCTATTAGTATCCTGTCGTTGTTCTTAAATTGCTAGTATTATGGTTGTTTTCTTACGCCTCGGTTTTCTAGCACCTTGTCGTTGTTAGTGTTTGTTGCTATTGCTTTTGCTATTGCTTTCTTCCATCTTTCTTTCCGGTTCATATATTATTGGTATTATTTTTCTGGTCTTTGTTGTTGATATTTGTTTGTCCCTATTCTTTCTCTCGAGCCGAGGGTCTTTCGGAAACAGCCTCTCTACCTCCTTAGGGTACGGATAAGGTCTGCATATACACTATCATCCCCAAACCCCACTTGTAAAATTTTATTGTGTTCATTGTTGTTGTATTCTTTTCTTTTTCTATTATATTTTCCGTATAGCACAATTATAGGATAAAATTATAAGTAACAAAAGAAGCTTAAGAGAAATTCGAGTTCATGTAGGAAAAGGGCAACAAAGAAATCCCAATTCCCCAAGGTTTATGTTAAACAAAAAGAATCTATAAATAGACAACCTTATGTTAATAATTCCATTAATAATTTTATCATTCAATTATTTCCAAATCTCCTCTAAAAGTTCAACGATCATGGCAACAATTACCAGGTTTTTACTTCTTCTCTTTATTACTTCCCTTAGTCTTTCAACCATAGTAATTTCATCATCTTCTAATTTAATTACACACAATAATCTCCCAAATACATTATTCAAAAAAGGTTACGTTTCTATGTCAATTATTCTTGAAAATACCCTAAACCATCTTATTTCTTCTCATAATACCACAAATTTTACCATATTTTGCCCTGCTGAAAAAACTTTTCTCAAAATATTCCCAAAATATCCCGGCCCTCCTTATAGATTAATTCAATATCAAATCGTCCCCTTGAAACTCAACAAAGAAAATCTCGAATTTTCTCGTCACAAAAACTCCAATAAGCTAAAAACCCTACTCCCCGGCCACCATATTATTATTACCACATTGCCTCACGACGAGAATGTTTCTATTAACAACGTTAATATCGTCGAATGGGACGTTTACAACAATGGACGTGTGATAGTACATGGGGTCGACGAATTCTTTGATCCTGCATTGGAAATACTAGTTTATCCTGATCGCGATATTGATAGTTCATCGAACGTGGAGAAAAATATTGAAAAGAAGAAGTATGGTTTTAAGTTTGAAGATTATATTGAATATTGGATTAAAAATCCTGAATATATATTTCAACTAACTTTGCTTCTTATGGAAGTTGGTGTTGCAATTGTTTTTATTTGTTATATTATGCATTATTGTATTTTGGAGAATGAGGATTATATAGATGATGACGTGGAAGATGTCAAGGTTGTCACATCTGATAAAGAAGAAAAGGAAGATGTCAACGTTCCCTTATTAAGGCCTCTGTTTGATTAAATTATTGAGTTTTATAATAATATTGTCTTTTTTAAACTCTTTTTCTTTATTTATATGTTGAGTTTTATTATTGGCACGCTATTTTCTTTCATCATAAATTAGGTAATTTGTACTTAGGGTTTATAGGGTTATCACAATGAAGTTAATGATATTATTGTTACTCAAAAATACTTTTTAAATTGCTTACAACTTGTTTGTATAGTTGTTACCTATTGTATCGTATCGTATTGTTACTTTAAATACCATGTTTGTTTTGATTGTTACTTAAATTTTAATGTATTGTATCGTTAAATCCGTCGTTACATAAGGACGAAATGTGCACTTTATGTAACGACCGATTTGGTGTGGTCGCATTGTTGCCTTGTCTTTTTCTTACAATCTCACCCTTCATTATAATTAAATAATTTTGTTTTATCATTTATCATATATTTTCATATAACATTTTACCCCGTATCGTAATTTTTGTTTATAATACTGCAAGTTTATTCTTCATATTGGTGCGTGATATCATGAAAAGGCGTCAAACGATATAATCTATTCAAACATTGTAATCATCAAACAATACAATACGATATATTATGAAACGATATGTAACAATCATCCAAACAACCTGTTAGTCAAATATCAAACGTACTTTTTTTAAGAGCGCTTCTTAAAATAAGCTAGTTTTAGAGGATTGTTATACAAATAGCCGGTCAAATTCAAATTTTACTTTTTCTAACCGGTATATATAGATTATACATTAATTATATATAATTATATATATATTTTATACATGAATTATGCATCTATTATATATTCACCGGCTACTTTTAATTTAAGTGACGACTATTTGGATTAATTCTTCAAAATATAAAAATATTATTCCAATTGCTCGGACTCCATCAGCCTGGAGAAATTCCCAATCTAAACTGAATAGGAGCCTTATTCTAAAAGGAACTGATTTGTTTTTCTTTATCCCCAAATAGAAATTTAGATTATTAGATATATTAGGACTTCTCTTTTACTTTTTGTTCTCCTGTAATATAAAATAGGAAAAATAATCTTTAATTAATACGTGACCTCCTAATCAACTTGCTAGTGAAAACGCTACACAATTTTTTTTTGTTTTGAAAAGTTCCCTGAAAAATCTGCGGCCGCTATTCTCCGGGCAGTGGCGGAGGCAGGATTACTGTCAAGGGGGTTCAAAAAAAGGACCAATGACTTTACAAAAATTTTGAATCACCTGAACCACTAAGCTATGCTTTTGGGCTGTGTTGAGGGAATTCAAAACATAATATATAGAGGTAAAAGACAGATTTTTCCTTACATATACAGTGTTTTTTTTTGGCGGGTTCGGGTGAACACCCTTCCGCCCCCCTAAATTTGCCCTTGCCTCCGGGTGCGTACTGAGTAACTTGCTCATTGTGTAAAGCTCGCAAACCATACAAGAGATGTAAATCGCACTAGAAAGCCTGGCACAACGAGCTCTGATTGAGGAAGATGCTGGTGAGGTGAAAATGCTAAACAAATTAGACGACATAGAAATTGTGCCACAAGATATCTCGGTTATGTTATAGAAAGTAGGGACATTGACATTGTATAACCGCTATCAAAATAATAACCGAAAAAGTGTATATATATATATATATATAGACAACCTTAGGTTAACAACTCCATTAATTCTTTCAAATCAAAGATTAACTTCAAAAACTTCTCTAAATTTCTCATCATGGCAACAATTACTAGGTTTTTCCTAATTCTCTTTATTTCTTTCGTTACCCTTTCAACCCCAGTAATTTCTTCATCTTCTAAATTAATTTCCAGCAATAACCTTCCAAATATATTATTCAAGAAAGGCTATGTTTCAATGTCAATTATTCTTGAAAATACCTTAAATCATCTTATTTCTTCTCTCCTAATACCACAAATTTCACCATTTTGCCGGTGAAAACTTATCCGCACCGGTTGTTTACACCAAATTAATAGATACTTGACATGTGTCTTGCATATGGACTTCAATCATTTAACCATGGTAAATTATATGCATTCTCATCTAATTAAATTAATTAACCATAGTGAGTTAATATAGTTTGGTGTAAACACCCGGTATGAATTGCCCTGCTGAAAAAGCTTTTCTCAAAATATTCCAAAAATACACTGGCCCTCCTTATAGATTATTTCAATATCAAATTGTCCCCTTGAAACTCAACAAAGAAAATCTCGAATTTTCTCGTTACAAAAACTCCAATAAGCTAAAAACTCTACTCCCCGGCTACCATATTATTATTACTACATTGCCTCACGACGAGAATGTTTCTATTAATAACGCTAATGTCATGGAATGGAATGTTTACAACAATGGACGTGTGATAGTACATGGCATCGATGTGGAGAAAAATATAGAGAAGAAGAGCTTCAGATTTAAGTATTTAACATTGAATTAGCTATTTTATATTTGGTTAAATATCCTGAGTTATTTCTGCTAATGGTATTTCTCATGGGATTGTCCCTTGTAATCGTTTGTATTTATGATATATTCTACTCGAGGAAGGTGTCAAGGTTCCATTAATTACTTAGGCCTTTTTACGTTTGACTAGTTGGATCTACTTTCTCATTCGGTGTTTACTACTTATATTAGAGCCCGACTATAAAATCTTTAACAACCACGTCAAAACAAGTACTAGTTATCTCTTACCAGCACAGGTATGAGATAACTTTAACCATCACAGCTTAGGCAGATTAAAAGAAATTATCTGACGGTTATTATCTCTGTTGAAATTTGAACCTAGTCTCTTATGATTTTTATCCACTTTATTGACTGCTAGATCATACCGTAGGGTGCTAAAAAAGATGTATTCTTTTAGTCAATCTTACACTAAAAAATCCTTGCACTTCCAAACATTTCTTTAAAGTATCACAACTTACACTGAACAGAAAAAATAAAGAGAATCCAAGTGATACCAAATGGATTCAGCAAGCAACAACAACAACCCAGTATAATTCCACAAGTGGGTTCTGGGGAGGGTAGTGTGTATGCAGACCTTAACCCTACTCCCTTAATCCTACTCTGGAGGGTAAAGAGGATATTTCCGACAGACCCTCAGCACAAGAAGATGAAAAGAAACGATAGAACAAAATGGATTCGGCAAGATGATTCAAAATTCTAAAATCAGCTTCTTTATGTATTTGACATGTATCAAGTACTGGTTCTTACATTTTATTCTGGTAGTTGCAAGAACAATTGAATATTAATCATTTACTATGAATACTGCCCCATAGACTTGCTTTCCCTCCATAAAAACAACTATGTTACAATAAGGAACAAGGGCATATGCTACAATCACTAGAATGCTAATTTTCTCCGTATCGTTCCAATTTTATCAAATGTCCCTGAAGGAACACTAGAATGCTAATGAATCTACTAAAAATATCAGCAAAATTGCTACCAGACATGGGTTGTCTAAGAATATCCAGGTCTCCATAAAAGTTAGTAGTACACTGGTTTATGATCCCTTAGCATTGGCAATATGATAGTTGTAATCAATTCCTGAACAAATTTGATGGAACCTGTAAAGAGAACTTCATATCAGTGAGAGCGGCAAAAAAGATACAAAATCATACAATTCATGCAACTGAAATCAATTCCACGCAGGCACATAAGGGATCAGCCGATCAGATGTGCAAAATTTTGATCAAAATTCATAATCTCGAACAGCATAAATCCCAAACTTTTGGCATCTAAGTTTCATGATTCATCGTTCTGAAAAAGCTGAATGACCGAGTCCTAGGTCCTCACCAAAACTACTTCAAATGAAATTGAAACACTGCCAATATAAATCACAATTTTGGAAGATGGACAAACTCTTTTAGACCCCTTAAACATGAAGAAGCTTCTTGATAATCTCATTCTGCCTATTCTACTCCATCCATCCCAAAGGACCCAAACTACTTAACCTACTTCCCCTTATTTTCATTTTTTTTGTAATGATGGTGTTTGTACCAACTTGCCTGCACCTCGACTATTCCACAAGGTACTTGCTATCTCCTACCAAGAAAGTTACTTGATCTACTTGATCTACTTCCCTTTCTGGTCTACCCAAAAGCCTGACATCTTAAGTGGAAAGAAATAACCCCCCCACCCACCCTAAAAAAAAACCCGAATCAGATGAAAATATGCAAATATATTTTTGTTATTTCAAAGCTTAATGCAACATCTTTTCACATTTTTTATCGGTAAAGGTATACAACATCTTTTCACATTTCAAACCACTTCTTTTAACATTAATTATCTACCAAGATGCCCGAAGAGTGGAGATAGAGCACAATGGTTCCTTGGTATAAGAATAAGGGTGATATACTTCGCACTCGGCCCTTTTTTGTTTGCCCTGGCGATGGACGTACTGACTCGCCACATCCAAGGGAGGTGCCGTGGTGCATGTTATTTGCAGTATTGTTTTGATTGACGAGACGCGATACGGTGTTAACGCGAGGTTAGGGGTGTGGAAACAGACCCTGGAGTCTAAAGGTTTCAAGCTGAGCAGAGCCAAGACAAAATACTTGGAGTGTAAGTTTAGTGGTGCTACTCAGGGAGTGGAAGGGGAGGTGAGGCTGGATTCACAAGTCATCCCTAGGAGGGGAAGTTTTAAGTACCTTGGGTCTATTATACAAGAGGATGGGGAGATTGATGAAGATGTCACAAATCGTATTGGGGCGGGATGGATGAAATGGAGACTTGCTTCCGGTGTTTTGTGTGACAAGAAGGTATCACCAAAACTTAAAGGTATGTTTTATACAACGGTGGAAAGACCGTCTATGTTGTATGGGACTGAGATTGGCCAGTCAAGAGCTTCCATGTCCAAAAGAAAAAGGTAGTAGAGATGAGGATGTTGAGATGGATGTGCGGGCACACCAAATTAGATAGTATTAGGAATGAAGTGATTCGGGACAAGGTTGGTGTGACCTCTATTGAGGACAAGATGCGGGAAGCACGCTTAGATGGTTTGGACATGTGAAGAGGAAAAGCACAGACGCTCCGGTAAGGAGGTGTGAGAGGTTGACATTGGAGGGCCTTAGGAGAGGTAGAGGTAGGCCGAAGAAGAGTTGGGGTGAGGTGATTAGGCATGACATGGCGCAGCTACAGCTGACCGAGGACATGACCCGTGAAAGGAAGGTGTGGAGGTCGAAGATTAGGATCGTAGGTTATGTAGTCTAGATAATTCATACCGGTAGTGTTAGTACGTACTCTCGCATTTGGTTGGTAGTAGGCTTATTTGAATACCTGTCGTTTTTTGTTTTGCATTTCGGTCATCTTACTATCTTGATATGTATGCTACTTTTACATGGTTTTTCGATGTTGTCCTGTCTTTTTTTCTTGTTAGTATTGTGGTACCTATGCTTGCCTGAGCCGAGGGTCCGAGTATCGGATTCGGCAAAATCTAAATTTTAAGATTCGGGGGTGCGGATCCATATATGGATACGGGTGCGCGGGGATTCGGCTAATAAAAAATAGAGCTATAAAAAACATTGTAAATTTTGAGAAATATTCTGTGAAAAACTTACATGAATATTGTAGAATTCAATCTTTCATTCTCCAAGATGGACATTATTCTTTCATTCTCCTCAATCTGTTTTATTTTTTTTTTTTTTGAAAAAGATAACATAGTTGTATATTGATATAAGACTTCACTAAAATTGTGAAGTCCCCCATAATTACAAAAAAAGGATGCCCTAGCAAAAATTAGGCACTCCTAGTCCTTCTTCTTCTTCTTATAAGGACTCTAAAACATCTAAAATGGATTCATGATCCTCCAAAAGCTAACCTTTACACCAAAAATAAAAAAGAGCTAGACATTTCATCTTAATCTTCTGAATGCTGCTAGACTTATCTTCAAAGCATCTTTGATTCCTTTCTTCCCAAACTGTCCACCATATGCATGCTGGGACAATTCTCCATCTCTCTCTTTCTCTACAAGGTGTGCCCATTTTACTCCAGCTTGCCAGAATATCAAGGACTCTTCCTGGCATTGCCCATTGAATTCCCCTCAGACTGATGAAGATTCTCCATATCTGAGAGGTGAACTTGCAGTGCAAAAAGAGATGGTGAATTGTCTCTGCCTCCTCTTCACATAGATAACATTTGGAGCACAATTGAAAACCTCTTCTAGTTAGATTGTCATGAGTTAGAACTGCTTCTCTTGCCAGTAGCCATGTGAAGCATGCCACCTTATGTGGTATTTTTACTTTCCAAATCATCTTCCATGGCCAACATTCCACCTGATTATTGGACTGATTGAACTCCTTGTAAGCATCTTTAACTGAGAACTTCCTTTGACTATTGCCTTGCCATTTGATCATGTCTTGAACTTGGTTTGAGATGATGCCACTGAACTGCTGCAGAGAACTGTAGAATTCCATAACCCTGTCAATCTCCCAATCATTTAACAGTCTTCTGAATGTGAGATTCCATCCTTGGTTTGACCACACCTCTTCTATAGTAGCATTCTGTTGTTGACACAAATTGAAAATATCCGGGAATAGTCCCTTCAGAGATCCTTGGCCTAGCCAATTGTCCTCCCATAGTGAAATCTTTCTACCATTACCAACTTTGAACTTTGCCTTGTTGATTAGTTTTGGCCATAAGTTCCTAATTGATCTCCACAGACCGACTCCATATGGTCTTCTTACTGTCTTGGTTGTCCAGCTTCCTTCCTTTCCATATTTTTCCCTAATCACTTCTGTCCACAGAGATTGCTCATCTGCTGCAAATTTCCACAACCACTTCAGCATCAGACTTTGATTCTGCACTTTCAGATTTTTGATCCCCAACCCCCCTGATTTTTTGCTTGTGATTAGATCACCCCACTTAACCAGGTGAAACTTCTTTTTGTCACAGTTACCTTCCCATAGAAAGTTTCTTCTAAGGGCATCAATTCTGTTCACTACACTAGCTGGCATTGGAAATAAAGATATCATGTATGTAGGCATGGCATCCAAAATAGAATTGATCAAAATCAGCCTCCCTCCCATTGACAAATACTGGTTCTTCCAGTTAGACAATTTCTTTTCACATTTTTCCAACACATTATTCCATATTCCTTTTGATTTGCTCTTGGCTCCCAAAGGCATCCCCAAGTATATAGTAGGTAGAACCCCCACCTTCCCCCCCAAAACATTTGCCAGACTCTATATTTCCATTACATCATTAACCGGATAAATAAGGCTTTTTTGCCAGTTGATGTGCAATCCAGAAGTGGCTTCAAACAGGATGAATATCACTCTTAGGACTTTCATTTGCTCTCTATCTGCTTCACAGAATACCAAGGTATCATCTGCATATTGTAAGTGAGAAATCCTTCCATTGTTGTCAGTTCTATTGGTCATTTTAAATCCCCTTATCCAGCTGTTTGTCTGTGCTTTCTTCAGCATTTCATTCAGTCCCTCCATGGCCAAGATAAATAGAAAAGGGGAAAGAGGGTCCCCTTGTCTTAGCCCCCTCTGAGAAGGAAAAAATCCAAAACTTACATTAGAAATGCAGTATGATATCCATCTAATCCACCTCCCTCCAAATCCCATCCTCCTTAAAATTTGTAGCAGGTACCTCCAGTTTAAATAATCATAAGCCTTCTCTATATCCAATTTACACAGAATCCCAGGTTCTTTGCTTGAGATCCTTGTATCTATGCATTCATTAGCCACTAGGACAACATCCATGATCTGTCTTCCCCTAACGAAAGCCATTTGTTGATGATCCACCAGCTTGTTGACCACTTTCTTGAGTCTTTCAGTCAGTAGCTTGGAGATAATTTTGTATATGCTACTGATCAAACTTATTGGTCTGAAATCTTTTAGCTCTTTTGCCCCTGCCTTCTTAGGAATCAATGCTACAAAGGTAGCATTCATACTCTTCTCAAATATTTCCTGCTCATAGAAGTTCTGGACTGCTGCTACAACATCCTTTTTTACCACTTTCCAGCATTTGTTAAAAAAAGCCATTGAAAAATCATCTGGTCCTGGTGCTTTATCCCCTGCAAATGCCTTAACACTGTCCCATATTTCCTGTTCTCCAAATGGGCTTTGTAGCATTAGGTTGTCCTCCTCTGTAATCATTTGATGGATGCTATTGGGCCCTGTTGGTCTCCATTCTTCTTCCTCTGTGTACAGCTTCTTATAGTATCTGATAACCTCCCTTTTGATGTCTTCTGGAGCCTGTAAAGACTCCCCTTCTACCACCAGTTGATCTATATTATTGTATCTTCTATGAGCATTAGATGTTCTATGAAAGAACTTGGTGTTCTTGTCTCCCTCTTTTAGCCATAAAGCCCTGGACCTCTGCCTCCATGCTACTTCTTCATTACTAGCAATCTCCTCAAACTCCAGTGATAATGAGTTCTTTGAGAGGATTTCTTCTTCAGTCAGGCTCCTTTGATCATGAATTCCTTCCATCTCTGCAAGTTGACTGAGAACACTTGCCTTCTGCAAAGCTAGGTTGCCTTGCAAGGTTCTGCTCCATTCTTTGAGCTTGGTCTTCAAAGCTTGGAGTTTAGAGACCAGTACAAAGTCTGGTCTCCCTTCATAAAAAAAGGAATTCCACCATTCTTCAATTCTTTCTTTAAATCCCTCAGCCTGTAACCACCAGTTTTCAAACTTAAAGTATGATTTGACTGGTTCCCATCTTCCATATTTGAGCATCAATGGAAAGTGATCTGATTTCTCCCTTTGCAACCTCTGCTGTTTGATGCTTCTGAACTCTTCATTCCAATCAGTAGAAATTAAGAATCTATCCAGTCTAGCTGCAATAACATGTCTATCCCCTTTCTTCCAAGTGTACTCCCCCCCTGCTAGCTGCATATCTACCAACTCCATATCTTCAATGAAATTTGAGAAATCCATCATTCCTCTTGAGATTCTGGAACAATTCTTTTTTTCCGAAGGATATCTCACAGTGTTAAAATCCCCACACACCACCCATGGACCAGAAAAGAGGCCCCTTACCCCTGCCAACTCCCACCACACTTCTTCCCTATCCCTTCTATCATTGGGAGCATATACAGCTGATAGATGCCATATATAGTCCTGAGTCTTGCCAAGAAATTTACAAGTAATAGAATGAGCACCCACCCCACATACTTCCCCCTCCCAAGCTCTACCATCCCACATTATTAAAATTCCCCCTCTAGTTCCACTGGCCTCCAATTGAGTATATTTCACCCACCTGTGATCCCAAAGTTCTCTAACAATCTCCCTGATATCCCCTTGAATTTTAGATTCTTGAAGACAAACTATATCTGCTTTCCATTCTAGTAGTAGGCTTTTGATAACTTTCCTTTTCCTTGCCCTATTCAGCCCCCTCACATTCCATGACAATATGTTTACTAACATTAACTCTGATTGATAATGACTCCCCCCTACTTCTTGTCCCATTACTCTTAAAATTGCTTCCTAACTCTAGTCCTTTTAATTCTTTGATCCCCTTTTTCTTTGGTGTCTGATTCCCTGATGATGCTTCTTTGCCTGTATTTACTTGTCTTCTGCTGTCAATTTTCATGAACAATTCCAAAGCTTCTCTTTCACAGCCATTAAAGTCTACCCCAAATTCTTTACTAAGCTTTATAATGTTCTGGTGCACCCAAATAGATGCTTCAAACTCTAGGTCTTCTTCAGGTTCTAAAGATCGTTGGTTTAGAGGCACTGCCACTTCTATTGCCCATGCATCTCCTCTATATGTTTCTGCTTCTTGTATCTGCATGTTGCTGTTCTTGCTTGTTTCTACTGTTGTTCCTTCATTCTCTGCTTCTGTTACTGTTTCATTAACCTCGAGCAGCACCATCTGTTTTGTTCCTTCCTTCTCGTCTTCCATTCCCTTTGCTTGCTCTCCTTCTTCTGTTGCTTCATTGTTGCTTTTGTCTCTTAAATTCTCCGCCAGTACTAGTATGTTATTCTCCTTCAAAGGCTCGAACTGGATGGCTTTTAATCTTCATGGAAGGGATCATATCTGGGCCTAACTGTGGCCTTATTAAAGGCCTTTTCTTCAGAAATTTTTTGGGCCAAAAAATCTGGGCCCATTCTCTTTACTGTATCAGTCTGTTTGGCCTTGTTATAAGGTTTTAAAAACTCATGTGACATGTCACGTGAGGTACTAGGTTTAGACCAAGTATCCTCATATCCTGTCATTATTGTATTACCTCGAGCCCCTCCCACTGTGCTTTTGTTACACTCTATTACCCGCTGATGTTTTACCCACTGGTTCAAACTGTTATCTTCTCCATTCTTACCAGTGATGGACCTCGCCGGCAATTCACACCAGATCTGCATTTCAAAGACCATACCTTCAGATTCCACCTTCACGGTTTTAGGAGTTGAAGAACCATCTCCATGGACCTTTAATCTTGCCCATTTCAGATGGTTTTCTAATTCCGTTTCCTCCTCTGTTTCAATCCAACCACCACATACATCTCCAATTTCTTTGAACACTGTCTCAAACAGATGAAGAGGAAGCCCCACTATCCTTATCCATGTGTGCTTTATTTTTGTCAGGGCCGGGCTTGTTCCCACCATTGGAGACCACCATTGAAGCTTCGCTTTAAACTTCTTCCAGAACCATTCTATTTTCAGAACTTGGTCGGCTGTAGCTTTCGATGAGAATTCAAAGAGGAATCTGTGCTTGTCCATCTCATAAATGTTGATTTCCTTTGTTTGCTTCCAAGAGTATGAAGCCCATTTTCGAACCTCTGATAAAGTCACTATTTCTGGGCTATCTTCCGGGAAGAACCCTACCAAGCACCTACCCAGCAGCTCATTGTGTTTATAGTTCCCAGATATATGAATGATGCCTCCATCTTCATTAACTTTTGCATCATTCAATTCTCTACCTACCCATTTATGGTTCCTGACAATGTTGGAATATTGAAGTCCTTCAACCTCCTTATAAGCTTTAAAGACATTTCTCCTCTCCCCTCCATTAATGAACCTTTCTATCTTCAATGCAATTTCGAGCCACCCTGCATTGAATGCTGCCTCTGGTACAATAATGACCGATCTTCCCCTACCTATTACCCCAATGATGGAAATATAACGACCATAACTATTGAAATTCCTTGCACAGTATGTCTCTGATGTTTTATCTCTGGTTTTCCACCTTTTCACATAATTACCTTTCACCTTTGATGCTTCTTTCATGTTATCACACAGCCACAACATCGATTTTCTGCTGAATGTAGTCCTTCTGATTAGGTTCCTTCTACGCTCTGTCCATTCAAACCATTCTTCAGAATTTGTTGTACATCTCTCTATCTCGTATGATTTGAAACCCACCGCAAAGTATATAATGTTTTCCTTCATATTATAACTAGTTTGGAAATATCTTTGTATCTTAAGGAAGAAAGGGGATTTTCCGGCAAGAAAGACGCCGGGAAGGTTACTCTACAGTCCTAGAAAGTAGGAGAGAGAGTGTCCTAGGGAACTGTGCCTAGGAGCATTTTTTATAATTAAGGCACAATATCTCCACTTTAGAAAACGGAATACTTTGTATGTCTGTTTTATTTTTGATTTTGAGAAATCAAAATCTCAATTTTTCTCCCAAATTTGTCGATGGACTCCGGTCAAAGTGTCCGAAGTCAGTTGACCGAATCCGGGACGTATCCCATTCTCGCTCCCGTCCCTGTCTCGTATCAGGATGGGGACGGCACCAAAATCGAAGAGTCCGCGCAACTTAGTCCACAAGGTAGGGGTAAGAGTCAGTTGACCGAACCCGGGACGTATCCCGTTCTCGCTCCCGTCCCCGTCTCGTATCAGGACGGGGACGGCACCAAAATCGAAGAGTCCGCGCAACTTAGTCCACAAGGTAGAGGTAAGGCCTGCGTACACACCACCCTCCCCAGACCCCACTATGTGGGATTGTATTGGGTATGTTGTTGTTGTTGTTGTATCTACCGAACTCAATATAATTATATTCAAGCATTGTAATAGATCTTAATAACCACACAAATCAAACTAAGTCATACAGATTGAGACGGAGGGATAAATACTTCAAGAAAGTTATGGACGAACTTTTGCACATGTTAGTCTAAAGTAGTAAAACAAAAGACATGCCTAGAACTTTTTAAGGAAAAGAAAAAAATACCTTTAGATGGTGTGGCATGATTTTTATATCAAAGGGCACGTGAAGCCAAGCCTCAGGCGGATAGTACAAGAAGTTTTCAGGCTTACTAGTATAGATATCTGCATATTGATGAATGTGGTAAGCAAAAGCAGACTCCTGACCAGTATCAGTGAGGAATGTAGCTCCAAATGATTTATTGAACATTCCTTTCATTTTGTAGCGAGTCTCTTGTCTCTCTTCATTGAGCTCCCTAAGGAGAGACTTGTATGCTTCACTTGTATCTCTATTAGTTACTGTAGCATGAAGCCTACCAAGAAGTTCTTGTATTATGTGAAACTTCGCCTGAATGGGGAGGGACGGAAAGAGAACAAAGCTGGTTAGTACTAAAATTGAAATAGCTAACTACAAGAAACAATCGGCCATAATAGTAGGACGGTTTATATAGCGTGTGGATAATGTAAGCCTATTTACTGGAAACATCTTCTGATGAGACATATGGCCAAATAAAAGCAAGCCAACCAATACATCGAGAAAAAGCTGTGTTAAACTAGTTTGAAGCAGTCTACGGAGAAAACTTACTGTCCTAAATGAACAATCTGCTTATATAATAGGTAGTCCATTTAAGCAGAGTGCAAGATCGCCAAAGACAAATCAGTGGAAATAATTGGCGATTTCTCTAATGGGACATTAACCCAAGGGAACACACATATTGAGAAATTAAATTGATAAGCGTTCCAATGTGAACATGCATGCTAAGTGCAAACTAGGAAAGAAACAGGAATAAGAATACGCTCTAGGAAGATAATGATATTTCGTATAGATCTGCCAAGGTACATTTAAAAACTTCTAAAATTCAATGTACAAGATACTCAATTGGAGCCAGGATTTTCATTAAGGGGAGTCAAAATATAAAGACATAAACTCACCAAGAAGTGAAGGGTGTCATTATATAGTATATATACATATTTTTTTTTAAAATTACCGAGCTAAACAGTGTAATTTTCCGGCAAAGGGGTCTTTTGTGCATGTGGCTCCGCCACTGAAGATACTGCATCATACTATGGTCCTCCAAAGTCATGAACATGGGAATTGTAGAATCAAATAATCAAGTCATATATAAAACATGAAAACAGAATCAGAACCCGTCTTGCAGCACATATCATATAATTTAATAACTGAACATGTAGTTTCAAGTAAAGGATGAAAGACTATCAAGTTGTACCTGTTCAAATCTGTAAGTATTGTCATTCTGAATTATGATCTCATTCTGGAAACAACAAAAAACAACAGGAATTAATTAGATTTTGATCAAGAAAGGACGGAATATAGGGCATTTGACACCAAATAATATGAGCACATACACGACCTCCCCCCTCCCCCTCCTTTAGATTCTGCGACAAGGAGTTGATAAAGATAGCAGCAATAACTGAAGCATTTTCTTGTACCCAAGGGTGTGATCTAGTGGTCAATAAAGTGGGTTTAAAACTTGGATTCTAGAGTTCAAATCCCCACAAAGACAAAAAAAACACTAGGTGATCTCTTGCCATCTGCCTAAACGTAGTGGACAGAGTTATTCAGTACCTGTGTTAGTACCTGTGTTAGTGAGAGGTAGCAGGTATCCAGTAGAATCCATATATGATCCAGATTTCCAGTCACTATACAAGTGGTTTAAACTAATAATACCTTGTAACGTACAGAAATATGCTTCATATTCAAATCAAGAGTTTGCACTTCAACAATTTACAATGGACGAGCAGGGACGAAGAATTCTAGGTCGAAAACCAATCATCTTTATAGCTAAGTAGAGGTGGCTTTTTACATTAAATTTACATTTTTAAAAGCAATAAAGAGTACTACAAGTCACAATTTTTAATGATTAAAGCTATTTAGCAAATGATTGAAAAAAATCATTATAAAAGAAATATCATTTACATCACCAAATAGCAACAGTATGATGTAAAATGGTACAGATGGAGACTACGACAAACACAGAAATAGGTGAAACATAAAGAGACCAGAAACTAAAAGAAAGCATACCTTCAATTCATGGATGATGGCAGCAGTCCGCCACCCTGCTTTTGAAGGCCCTCTGAGATCACTAAAGAGGTGATCCCCAAAATATATCACCTAAAGTTTCATGAGAGTATATCTCAGTAATATAATGAAAAGGTAGAAAAATGAACTGGATAACACACACAAACGAGATGGTCTGCCTAAGTTGACTTATCAAACTCGCATGTAATAGAATAAAAAGCCCTGCCGTGGAAAAGCTGTAGTATTTTGTTAAGCTTACCTCTGGACCTTTCCACTTTGTAATCTGCAAGAACGTTTTAAGGCATCCATGGTAGTAAATTTTACCGGGAAAGAAAGCATCAACTTTCGTAAAAGCCAACGTGTCCTTCTCCACATCATAGCAGCTGCATAAACATCCAATAAATACAATGAGGGCAGTACTGTATATGAGAGTAGCATGGAATGTTTTATATAGCATGAATTGGGACTTACGAGAGGATGTGATACATCCTAACAACCAAATAAATAAATAAATAAATAAATATATATATATATATATATATATATATATATATTTATATATATTTATAAAAACAAACAGAACTCTCTTATTAATAATAAAAAGATTTCTTTTTATGGTGGGTGGGGATGGCATAGTTGGAACCAATGTTATATGCAAGGAAAATTTGACAGAAAATTTAATGGTAGAGAACCAAACCGAAATGGATGGTCAGATTTGTAAAAGGCTGGCTTGTTTGCTTTAGCAATTACAACATCAAAAAGTTCCCTCCAGGAGTCTTGCTGACCCAATGAATCCTAATGAAATATATACCAAATAGGAAAGGTGTCAAATCGGAGAATCCAGACTGATGGAACAATATAACAATGAAAATACAATCAAAGCAGACTCGAAAAGAGAGGACACAAATATCAAACTGTATGTTCCAAGGGAAAATAAGGATAGGCTCATCGGTACCACCAAAATCTTGATTCATCTAATAATGTTAATGCCCATAACTGCAAATTAAAAGAAGTGGTAATACAGCGTGCACTTCATTAAGAAAATAAAACTTGGGTCTAACTCGACATCAAAAGCTAGCTAGTGGTGAGAATTATTCAAGACCATATAAGGAGACTATAATCCATACACAACCGAATTTACACCCTCTAGCACGGCCAGGACAGAACATTTGGAGTGTGGAGTGACATAACATGGTTGGTCCAACATGGGCTAGCCCAACACCAGGGATGGATCCGACTCCAAAACCATGTTAATAAAATGAACTTTGGGCCAAACTCAATCTTAAAAGCTAGTTGAAATGGTGAGAATTGGCCAAGAAGATGAAAAAAGACTACAACTCATACACTAAACAGAACTGTTGTGGGATTCGGACACACCTAAACTATACTTCAAACTAATATATTAGTGTCACAAACAAAAGCAACTTGCTTCATTAAATCAGTAAATCTGTAACTCCAGAAAAAGGGAATTGAGCAACAGTTACAGATGTATGCAGCTAAAGCACTTGAATGAAGCATGAAAAGAAAGTTTGACCCGATGCCCAAAAAAAAAAATAACGCTGTCACTTCCCGGACGGGCTTAGACCAAACATTAAACATGCAGAGAATGTGTGGGAGTTTCATTACCAGAATACATGAACGCCTGTAGATTAATTACACAGATACAGAGGGGTGTGTGTGTGTGTGTGTATATATATATATTGTGAATTCAAGGGAATTAGGGAGATGAAAAGGAAACAGTAGATTACCAAAAATGATATTCTGCTATGGATCTTCATAATGTCAAGTAATTATTAGAAAACGAAGAAGACACCAGCACTAACTAATTTCCACCACCAACTCCCGGCTCCTTTTACGAACTCCATAGTCCACTTATGCAACTAGAGCTAAATCGCCAGTAAGAGACAACAAAGTTTCAGCTAGCTGAGGTCAAACTATTTCAGTTGAGTGTTCTTACATTCTCTATATACACGCCGCAGACAAACACAAACTTATGAACATAGTCTGCTGATGTAACAAGTACAAAAATGGTAATGAAGTTCCAAGAAAGGTGTAAGTTTGCATAAAAGTTAGCCAGGTAAGGTACCAAATCAATTATAAATTTTTTTTCCACTTGAAAATACCTGCAACATAAAGCGCATCCCTCCATCCACAAAATAAAAGGGAGAATTGGTCAACAAGAAAAGTTTCTTTCCTTTATCCTTCAGCATCCTTAGAAAGCGTAGTAGCTGATCCTGGAAAAGAGAAGTGCAAAACTTAGGTGAAGTTAAGAGTTCTAAAAGTTGCAAAATATACAGAGCAACTATGGTTATACTTACATTCTTTACAAGGTATCTAGGGGGATCAGCAAGTATTCCTCTGTGAACTAAGCCGCTATTATGAACATACTGTATCGCTCGATTCACATCTTCATATACATAACGAGCATCAAATTCCAATTTAGCATCAACAAAATGTTGCACAATGTCAGCAATAAGGCATGCCTGCAAAGAAGAAAATAAAGAGAACCCAAGAGGTCTGGAAGTCACTAAAAAAATCCTTCAACTATGTATCTAATTGCATCCTTCTACTTTATTTAAAGAAAACATTCTTAAAGAGAAGAGATTCATTAAACATCACTATTGCTCTGCAAATATTTATTTGTTACACCACAAAGCCATAAGATATGACTACCAAGTGTCCAAGATCAATGGCTCAAATCTTGGATCTTGTAACCAGATTTTACATCAGAAATATCATTATATACAAGCATTTCCTCTATCCTAAATTCACTAATTTCAGCCATCTTCAAACTGCACCTTCGAAGGGTCTTGATCAATCCCCCCAAACCCCACTCCCCAACAAAAAGGACAGCAAATAAAGTTCCTAGATGCATATCTGACATACTTGCAGATTGGTGTTCTCCTAAATTTCTAACATTTCCACCAATATTTTTCATGATTCAAAAGGCCCATGCAACTAAATATATTACATAAACATGCCCAGTGAGTGCAATCTTGTTATTAATGTCAAATGAGTTCTTCAGTGCGCTAAAAAGCCAATGTTAAAGGGAAAACTGTCAAATGTTAAGAAATACTAGAGATCAATAAACTAACAAACTAACCTCACTAAAACAGAAGAAATCCATCAAACAAACTAGTTCCCGCGCTTGATCACGGCCAATATGTCTTGTACCATACATCTCATCTATTTCTTCCTGGCTGAGCTGCAAAATTTAACATCAGTGAGCGTCAGATTATCTACTAGATTGTTTCTGGTGTTAACAAATTTCTGAGACATAGGACAAATCAACTAAACTAGCAATGCATCCAACTTCCAGTAGAAACCCAATATTTAAGAAGGCATCCATATCTTGTAACCCTCCCTCCCTCCCCCACCCCCCCCCCCCCAAAAAAAAAAAAAAAGATATACTCCAATCCTTCCTGGCCCATAGTTCAAGCAGGCTATTTGTTTGCCTTTGGATGGACAAGTGTAGATGGGCTTCTAGAAAAAGAGTGTCTATTCTCAACAACATAGATGTTATATTCCTTCTCTTCTTCTTTTTCCTCTTTGTTTTTATAATTGAATTTTATTTTACGACTGCACCAAGCCACTGTCAATACATGACGAGAGAGTACATCAGAGCTACTAAGCACTTAGCCAACTATCTACCTATCACAGAAATACAGATGTAACATATGTAATGGTCTTGATTTTTCATGAGGTAGATTTACTAGTCTTGATAAACCTATCTTTGTGGAGCTAACGGCAAGACCCACCCATGGACACTCATCAAACCAATTTGCTTAGTTTTAAGAGCATACATGTCCTAATAGCTTTCTCTCCAGCTACGCCTGCCGGTCTTACCCCACCGTGCGCCTTGCCACCCCTTCCCATTATGTTAGATTTTTTGCTCTTTTGAGCCATATTTATTTATTTTTCTTGGGTTTTTTTATTTGATCATCATTTCCTGTGCTTTTACCACGTCTTCTAAATTATCTTTTTGTAATATCAATAATCAATAATATTTCTATTGATCTGTTGCTAAAAAAAATATGGAAAAGGGTTAAATATGCATCTAACATATTGGAAATGGATTAAAAATTCCCCCCTTCCACTTATTGGACCATAATTGCCCTCAACGTTCTTTTTAAGCATAAAATTGCCCCTCATTTTAACGGAATGACAAGGAATATGTGGGCCTTTCAATGAAATACGTGGCATTGATTCATCGGTCCCACATGAATATGTGACCCAAACCAAAAACAACTCGACCCATTAACTTGAACTCTTTTTTAAAAGATCCCAACACTTCATCCTCTTCATTGTCATTGTCTACAATTTCTTAGGAAGATGTATAAGGTATATTCCCAATATTTTCTATGAAAGAAATCAAAATCACAACATAATAGGGAGCTTGCTAAACTTCACCTTGCGCCTGCCATAGTAGCATCCGTCAAGCTCAATTGACCCAAAAAAGTCTAACTTCATGAGACACCCCTTTGATTTGTCATAGTATAACCCTCTGATGGGAAAACTAGGATCATACTTGAATTCCAAGCAAGTATCAGGATATTTGAACTGAAGCACAAAATGAATAAGAGAATAATCCATCATCAGAAAGGTAAGGTTACTTTATCCACAAAACATAATCCTACATGTTCTTTTCTTTAAGTTTATTCTTGGAAATAGTTACCACAAGGCAAGAGTACAACAACACACCTCACTAACTAGATGCTGTTTAGCAAGATCATAAATCAAGCTCTGTAAATTGGAGGAGTAATGCGCCAACGTGTAATCATAGTCGAATCCATAGACTTCTATGCTGTCCAACCGCACGTTCTTATTAACATATACACCTAAAAGTAAAACATTATCAGCCACCTAATTTCAATCCAATCCTCAAACAGTAGCAGAAGTTCTCATAGAAGGTTAAATGTACTATAGAATGACACTATGACAGGAGAAGACGTGGTTAACCTTTAGGATTCATTTTGGGCATTTGTTTCAATGCATCAGGAATCTTTAGAAACCTCTCCTTCGCAGCATTGTATTCTTCCCTAATTTTCAAGATTTCTTCCTCAGAAAATGGATCATTTGCAGTTGCTAACAATTTATCTTGGTCCTCCAACTTCAATATTTTCTGCTCTGAACACGCTAAATTACTATATCGACGAGAAAACCCTGTATTTCCAAGAAAAACTGCAATCTCATTAGGTTTTTTAATAGAGCAAAAATACTTACAAAAATCCAACACAAAATTAAAAGATCTTTCAACAAACACACAACAGAAGAGAAAACAAATACCTTCTTTACATCCATAATGAGAAAAACTCGTCCTCTGCAGCAAAATTTGCTACTATCAGTGACACTATCAAAATTGTATTCATATCTATGATCCAAACAATAATACACAAACACCTACAAAGACATACGTACATACACTGGTTTATATAGGTACATGAGTTGCATAAGTTTGTAAATAAGCATCTATACAAAAAACAGAAACTGCATAAGCAGACAGGTACTCTGCAATAGAATTTGCTACCATAAGCGACACCTATCTAAGAGGTAGTCATACCTATGGCTGAAAAGCATATCACGACAAATAACCACAAAGACATACACAGACAAGACTATACAGGTATTAGGGTGACATATGTTCATAAGAAGCATCAATACAAAGCTCGACACAATATAAACAAGAAAGGCATAAAAGCTCATGCTATGAAATAAAATTTATACTATTAGTAACCATGTAAAAAAGAAATATTGCTTAGGTTAAGTTATGGCACTTTGGAACACTGCCGATCGCCACCTCTTGCAAGCAACCGTCGGTCACAAATGGGAATAATCATACGCTATCATAGGCGCTTTTCTGCGACTTCTGTTGCTTGCTTGTTGCATAGAATTCAAACAAGAGAAAAAACTGAATTGAACTGAACTTATTTTGGGTGGATGATATATTTGCACATCTATGAACCAAAATGAATAACCGGAACCAAATTAAAACAGAACCCCCACAATGACTCTTTAACTAATGCCAAATCTATGTTAAAGCTATGGTGGTGCACTCATCATCTTAGAATCCTAGATTAGCCTCTAATCATACCTATGGCTGAAATGATGATTAAAACACAACTAACCACAAAGACATCTATACACATGGGCGGAGCTAAAGGGAGGCAAGGGGGTTCACTTGAATCACTTTTGGTTGAAAAATTATATTATGCATTGCAAATAGGGTACAACCGATTTGCTTGTATATATAAATGGGGAAAATCCTAGTGAAGTGACAAATGGGGTTCAAAATTTGCATTAGGTCAGAGATTCAAATCCCATGTGTGATATTCTAGTATGTTTTAAAATCCCCTTCTGTAAAATCTTGGCTCCGCCGCTAACAAGAGTATACAAGTACAAGGGCGACATTTGTACATAAGAAGCATGATAAAACCCTTTACTATATAAACAAGACAGGTACCAAAGCTCATGCTATGAAATAAAATTGCGACAACTAATAACAGTATCTCAACTATGACATTTATATATTATGTGTTGGAAGCATTCAGTGAGTTGCTTTAAGTGACAAGTTCATATCTCAACTATGACATTTGATTGTAGTATTTCTTGAATCCTCTTATATAAATTCCTGGCTCCACCACTGCACAGGGTACTCTTAGAAAGCACCAATACAAAACCCCACACTATATAAACAAGACAGGTACAAAAGCTCATGCTATGAAATAAAATTGCTACCATTAATTACCAAGCCGAAAAGAAAAACAAAAATTCGCATCATCACTGACACCTAACAAAAGGGTACTCTTATCCTCCAATTACACACAGTCAAACCACAAAGGAAAATACAGATGCACAAGATTATAAGGGTATGAAGTCCTATGGCGTGCATATGTTCATAAATAAGCATTTCTTCACCAACCCACAAGCAATATAAACAAGATATGATAACATTGCTACCACGAATAACCAAGCAAAATAAAGGGTACCTATATAAATGATGAAATGTTGATTCTAAACATCGTCAAAGAAAATGTTGATCTTAAACAAAAACAAAAGGCACTAAAGAAAATATTCATAAACAAGATATAATAGGAATATGAAGTGCACAAAACCCAGGAATAAGACATAGAAAAGAGAGGTAAAATAAAGCTTACAAGAAGGGAAGAACGGAGCCTGCGAAGGCATGCCATTGCAAAGATGGCGCCTTCAGCAGACCATGGAAATTGAGAAAATGAATTGCTGAAATTGATGGTATTTTTTTAATTGAATAGTAAGTACTAAGTACTCTATAAGCAATATCACGTTTTTCTAGGTTCGTCTTTTTTTTTTTTCTTTTTTAGTATGGTGCCAACTACAAACCTTGCACGTGCTAGTAATTGGAAATTTTAGAAGCATTTTATCAATTGAAATTTATATTTATTTTTTCTAGTCGGTATAAATACATTATGTATTGATTATATACGAAAATTATATATGAATGATACATGTATTATACATGCATAGTCTATTCTTCTTTTATAAAGTTGAGGATGGGATCTTTTTCCTTTGTTATAGATTTATCATGATTTGTTTAAAGTGTTCAATCATAAAAATAAAGGACTAAATTGCTCAGACATACATTTAAAAGATTATTTTAAATCAATGCTCAAACATAAGAGTGTTATGAAATAATAAAAGAAAAAAAACATTATTGCAGAGAAAGAGAGAGAGGAAATTCTTATTGAATTTTTTGGGATGAATTACAATGGAATAGAACCCTCTATTTATAGGGAAAGAGTGACTTAGCCACCAAGCAATGAACCCTAGAATCTCTCTAAATATAGACATTCACCATAAATAAAATTCTATTTATAACACTCCCCCTTGAATGTCTATTCAACAGATAATGTGCCTCGTTAAAACCTTAACTAAATAAAACCTAGTGGGAAAAAAATTCTAGAGAAGGAAAAAAAGTACACATATCTAAAAATACGCCTTTTGGTTGCCTCGTTAAAAACCTTGCAAGGAAAACCCAGTGGGACAAAACTTGTAAGGGAAAAAGAGTACAACGCGTATTAACTCCCCCTGATGAGAGCATCAATTCACATCCTTAAGCATTTGCATTCCAATCTTGTGCACCGTCTTCAAATGATCTTTGGTAGAGATTTGATGAACAAATCGGCCATATTAACTTGAATGGATATGTTGCACCTTGAAATCATCATTCTTGATAGATATATAATGTCTTCATATAATGTCGTGGAATGGCTCTTCAATATCTCCATAGAGATTCTCGCTATCGTATTATCATGCTTATAATTATAGCAAGATACATGATCACGCCCAACTATGCCTTATAAAAAGGACTCTGCGGACGTTGCAAATATAACCCGAGTATTACGCCCAGGGTCGAATCCACAGAGAGTTAACCTATCAACCGCTATCTTCAGACCCACCAAGTCTTCAGAACCAGCTTCTCAAATATTCAAATTCTCAGTTGAGTGTTCTTTAACAACTAGCTTGCAAGTAACTAAATGGCTGTAACTAAATTAATAAGGTTGTAAACAATTATGGGAAAAAGCTAAGGCAATGATTTCCCCTATTGATGGAATCCCTTCTGTTTATGCTCATACAAATTTACCCACACATCTCTATCAATCATGAACGCTAATCTTACCGCAATTCTCTCCCGAGTAATCACAGTAATCTACTATTGCACTCTCCCGAGATACACTAGCTTACTTTATTTAGCACAATTCACTTAGATTACACCCAAGGCTTCGTTACCCCTAATCCCGCCTTTAAACCCGCAATTATAGATTCCTCTAATAATCTAGGAATGGTGTTGTTCAACAATACCCTAAATATGCACTTTTTTCCAAGTTATGCACACTAAATAGGCACAGCTAATTGAGGATCCTGTCAATTAACTACAACGAACACGAAGTTGAACAAATAAAGATTAAACTAGCAATTTGTATTCACATAAACAAGAAGTTCATCACCCAATAGGGCCCACCAAAGCCTTAGACAAGGAATTTAGCTACTCATGGCTATGGGAAAATAAACTAAGATTGAATTCATCATAAAATCAAAAGAAAAGAAGAAAGATGTTTAGAGTATTTTCTCACAATCGTTTTCCTTGCTAAGAAACCTAAAAAATCAAATACATGCCTCTCTTGGGCGAAGTCTAATGTTTTAAATAGGGTTTAGGTCTAAAAATCCCGTAATTGACACTTTGGTCCCTGAAGTTTACTGCGCCTGCCGCGGTTCTGCCGCGGTCTGTAGAACCGCGGCCAAACACCCTCGCGGAATCTCAATCTTCTGCAGTTGCTTCCCACCGCGGTTCTGCCACGGTCGCGGTAGAACCGCGGTGGATCCAGTTCTCTGAATCTTCGGCCTGTTTTTGCACGGGTCACTTGGGAAATTTCACAGTTGACCTCTTTTTCATCACTTTTGACTCCAAAACTGCTCCTTAGCCTTCTTTATACATATATCACCTACAAATCATGAAAAGCACTAATAAGAGCATTTTGTCATCACTTTTAGCATTAAAACTACACAAGAAGGTGATTATTTAAGGTGTGATTATAGTCAAATTCACCTATTATCAATACATATATGCACAAATTGCACTAAGGATGTGGTACTTCAAGATCAAGAATTGTATATGCTTCAAGCAACTTAAATCCTTCATGGATTGTCGAATAAGTTAAGTCATATAAGCCATATAATAGACTTTAGATGCATATCAAGTTTTCATGTCATGCAACATATAAGATATCGAAAACTGATTGCACATACCATTGACTTTATACTTTCAAGTGTTTGAACTGCATGTCCAAAACTATATGTCTTTCGTATGAAACAAATTCTATTCGAATCGTTTCTTCAGACTTAATATCCTCATATATATATTTAGCGCTTTCATAGATGTCGTCGACGAATATTTTATATCGGTTCTAACCTTCTTTTTTTTCATAAAGACATAACATAGAGATCTCTTCATTCATATTTTTAGGTACCTGAATCTCTCTTGAGATTTTATGAAGCATTATGTCATATGATCTTCTAGATCACTTGCCTCATTTATTATGATCATTTTGATCATTTGCTCATCTTCTTTATCAAGAAGTTGATTTGAAACCGATTTGTCTATATGCTTTAAGCGTACTATAGACTTTGTCCTTCTAGGACTTAATATGAGCATTTGCAATGAGAATATAGTTACTTTCTTTGGGCCAGCAAATGCGTCTGGCATGCTTTGTAATATATTGCAAATGAAATATCCTTTTATGAACTTAGAAGTTCATATTATCTTATTCGAGGATCTAGATGTACAAATGATAATTCATTCCACGTAACTTTTTCTCAACTGTTTATCATGTCTCCCCCTCATGTTAGAAAAACTAACTTGTTNNCTTTGTGCATTATGGTGTTAATCAAAATATACCCCGCACATCAATGATAATAAGATGGAATTAATTGGTTCCTGACCCTGAACCACTTGTGAGGGGAGAAAATAATATACTTTCGTATATAACGTATATCAAACTGATATAGATAACTTTGTTCTCATAAGCAATTGTTTAGCTATTAAGTAGAGGCACTTAATAAATTATTTTGCTAAACGAACGGTGATGTAAACCAACTTATCAAGATGAACTTCTTGAATAGAAAATCTGGAAATTATGCTCGAAACTAAATTATTGAGCAAGTTACCTCGCAAACACCATGTTGCGGGTTATTAATAATCGCACATGTAACCATCTCATAGATGCATCTTATGTGGTATACATGGCAGGTGAATGGGCCCATATTCACCTTTGATATTTCCAGCATTCATGGGATTCAATCCCAATTTTAATTGGTCCATTAATTAACGAGAACAAGCAATGTAAGAGAATTCGTAAAGAACTTTCTAGTTCTTTAATATTTACCCATGTGAATTCTCTTTTATTTTTGCACATCATACTTGAATTAACATGGCTAAACCAATTATGCCAACTGGATAAATTATCAATATTGATAAACTTCAGGTTTACACCATGATGTGTGCAATTATGAATAAACTCCAAGTTTATTATGATATGGATTTTTATATCAATAAATTTCACTTCATTGTGGTATTCTTTTATTTATGTAGTACAAACTGGAGAATAAAGCGGGTAGCTTTTCACATACATATTATCCCGCTACAAGTTGTAGTAATAGAAGATATTAAATATTTCCTTTATTTATAGTCTCAATAATCAATCGCTTTCGCATATACTTTGGAAACTGAATAAGTTTCTTTGAGACTTACTACAACACAATACCTTATTGGTAATCAATTGTGTTTCTCCAAAATAGTATAATTGGCTCTTGCAGAGTTCTCAATTAATTTTGTAGTACCACATATTCATCAACACCTATATGGTGAATATCTCTTTAAAGAGAAAGTTATACCATTATGGTTATGGTCAAAATTATATGTAAGATCTGTTTCTTGCATTACCGTTGTCTTTTAACAATCACAATGCCAAAATATTTTGGCGTGCAATAGGTACGTGACCAATGACCATTCATGCCATAATAATGACATTATTTTCTTATATCATCTCAAACCTCCTTTTAGAGGTGAGTGCGGTATATTCACTACCACTAGCACGTTGATATTCTTTGAAGAATGAATATGTATTCATAAATCAGATGTTGTCACATTCACATCATGAATGGACCATAATCATCTATATGTGCTTTACAAAATCTCATGTCAAATCGATGACAAATATTTTTCACAGAGTGAAAGTTTATTTTGAGAATCCTAATTGTTCTCATTACCACAAAATGATGACGATTANGTTAACTGGTGCAGGGTCAGCAAATAGGAACTCCATTTCTCGCCTCCGTATCTCTTCATACATCTCCACTTTCTCGGCTCGGAGGGCTGCCCGATCAATCGGGATTTCATGGATAAAAGTTTTGGTAGCCTTGGCGTTGAAGTCGTCCTCTGCCAGTTCCGATTGGAATCTGGACTCATCATATGCAGGTCGTTGGGATGTGCCTCCAGAGCGCCTTTGCCTTTTGGGAGCCATTGATCCTGCAAATAATCAAACAAACCATCAACAAATGCCCTAGCTAGTGCCAATAAGGTGGTTACTCAGACTTCACCACCCAATGACACCAAATATAGCTCCTGACTTCACTCATAACAACCCCCACAATAGCTCCATAATTTTCTTACCACGTCCGGTATAATACACCCCACACTTATTCCATTCAATGGTACCCATGACATACAACACCACCA